GAGCTGGACGGCGACGACGAGACGCAGCAGGAGGAGGAGGAGGAGGAGGAGGAGGAGGAGGTCGAGGAGGTCGAGGAGGAGGAAGAGGAGGTCGACGACAACATGCATGACATTCGGAAAGTCTGTGGTGTTTGTCGCAGGGCTACTTGGAGGACTCTTGAAGGCTTCGGCGGGGACATCTTGGAAGTATTTGAGATCTCGTTGTGGATTATTGGAGCTCTCTTCGGGCTTCTTGGCGGCCTCTTCGGGGCATGTTACAATGTTGAGGGAGGAGGAGGAGGCTTATCCTGCCTGAGAGATGGATGAGGATGAGGAGGAGAAGGAAGAGGAGGAGGGGTAGGAGAATGAGAGAGAGGAGGGATAAAGAGGAAGAGGAGGAGGAGGAAAATTTGGAGGATGAACAGAAGGACGAGGAATAGGAAGAAGAGGGAGGTCAGGAGGAGGAGGATAATGAAGAAGAAGAGGAGGACGGGAACACATGAGGAGGAAAAGGAGAAGATGGACAATGAGGAGCAGGGAGAGGAGGAGTGGAAGGCGGAGGAAGAGGGAGGAGGAGGAGGAGGAAGATGAGGAGGAGGAGTAGAAGGAGCAGGAGGAGGGAGTGGAGGGGGACAGATGAGCAGGAGGAGGAGGAGGAGGGATGGGAGGAGGAGGGGAGGAGCCTCTTGGAGCCTTGGTGGGGGTGTTCTTGGAGAGCTCCTGGGACGTCTAGGAGGCTTCTTGGATAGTCCTGGGGCCATCTTGGGCCGATCTTTGAGCGACACGGGGCTCTTGTGGGCAATTTTGGGAGCCATCTTCGGCATTCTGAGTTCCTGTTGGGGCTGTTCGATATGTCGGGGCCGCCCTGAGGGACAACGAATTTGGGTGGTCCCCCGGGGACCCTTCCCGGGACCCCCCCCCCGCGGGGAAGGGATCAGAGGGAAGGGGGCTTCCCTTTGACTCTAGTACGACGTTGTACAATTTCGCCTTGGATGGCACGCTTGAGGAGGGCCCAGAGAATGAGACGGGGGACGACGGATACGGCGAAGAGATGACTGTGACGCCGAAGACGACGAGGAGACGACGGAGAAGCCACTCGCACACGCGGACAGGGTCGGCGGATTTCCATGGTGCCATGCTGGCCCTAGAAGGCCAAGACTCGTCAATCTGGCTCGGGTCGCCATAATCTTGGCCCAATGTTTCTTGAATCCACGTTAATCACGATAACATTTCTCTGCTTTGCCTTCATCACCGTCAATCGTTATGACACATGTGTTGTTGCTTGACTGTTCCCGGCCAGATTTGCACGTCCCAGTGGGAATCCCGCTCTAGGATATCGCGTCAAGGTTACCACGCTGGAAGTATTGAAAGGTACTACACACTACCGCGAGCAGGTCATCTTCAGATAGCGATTCCCTTGACGCGGGAGATGGCAGCTATACGCCAACACCAACCTTGCCCATTCCCAGTATGATGCGTTTGGATGTTCGGGTGTCTTCAGAGGGTTTTGAAGGTTGTTGGAGGCCTTCGGAGGTATCCGAATACTCCTGGAGGTTTTCGAAGGAGGGGAGGAGGAGGGAGGAGGAGGGAGGAGGGGAAGGGCAAAACGAGGAGGAGGAGGAGGAGGAGGAGGAGGAGGAGGACAAGGAGGGAACATGAAGATGAGCATGGAAGAGGAGGGACGAGGAGGAGGAGGAGGAGGAGGAGGAAGAGCAGGCGGAGCAGGAGGAGGAGAAGACATGTTGGAGGATTGGGATGACGAGGACGTGGAGGAGGAGGGGGAAGGAGGCTGGGGAAGAGGAGGAGGAGGAGGAGGAGGAGGAAGGAGGCTGGGGAAGAGGAGGAGGAGGAGGAGGAGGAAGAGAGAGGGGGATGATGATGATGATGATGATGATGATGATGATGATGATGATGAGGATGAGGATGAGGATGAGGATGATGATGAGGATGATGATGATGATGGATGATGATGGTTGGTGGTGGTGGTGGTGGTGTGGTGTGATGATGATGATGATGATGTGATGATGCTGATGATGGATGATGATGATGATGATGTGATGATTGATGATGATGATGATGATGATGATGATGATGGTGATGATGATGATGATGCTGATGATGGTGATGATGATGATGATGATGATGATGATGATGATGATGATGATGATGGACGAGACGGACGACGACGACGACGAGATGATGATGATGATGATGATGATGATGATGATGATGATGATGATGATGATGATGATGATGATGATGATGATGATGAGGAGGAGGAGGAGGAGGAGGAGGAGGAGGAGGAGGAGGGGGATGAGGAGCAGGAGGAGGAGGGGGAGAGGGAGGAGGATCAAGAGAGAGGGTAAGGGAGGCAGACGGAATAGTTGGGAAGGCATGAGGTAGGAAAGGCGAGGGAGGAGCGAGAAGGAGGGAGGGACAACGGAAGGAAGGAGAAGGGGCCCGTGGGGAGTAGGGTCATGGCGTAAGGCGAGGGAGGATAGAGTTTTCCACCAATTAGGGCTTCGTTGGAGGGGGGGGGGGGGGGGCGCCGCCTGGGGCGCCTCGGCACGGCCTCTGGTTTCTCTGGCTTCTGTCTGGGGTCCGCTGCCGAGGTCTCTTGGCTGGGCTGGGGAGGGGGAGGAGGAGGAGGGGGAGGGGGAGGGGGAGGGGAGGGGGAGGGGGAGGAGGGGAGGAGGAGGAGGAGGAGGAGGAGGAGGAGGGGAGGAGGAGGAGGAGGAGGAGGAGGAGGCTTGGGGGGCCTCCTGTTGGGCAATGCTCTCCGCGTCGGGCCCGCTCGAGATCTCTCGGGGGTCGTTCGGTGGGGCGCTTTTGTGCATTCTATCTCACCTCAGCAGTGCCCCCCCTTGCCTGCATCTCCTCCTGTGTCCTCGCCCCAGCCTGTTATCTTGACGTCCTCTCGCCGTGGAACAGACACGACGAAAGGTCGTTGCCAGTTCTCGCCCTCTGGGTGGCCCTAATTCGGAAACCAGAGCTGTGGTGTATACCTGGTTCCCCATAATTTTCCAGGGGGGACAACAAAACTGTATACACCAGGATCCCGTATACACCAGGATCCGCTTCCTTGTGCGTATTCCAGTGCGGGGCCGCAAACAGAGTCGGTGTATAGAGTTCGTTTCCCTACTCATCGGGTCAATCAACGATTCGGGAAGAAAGGAGACCCGTCTCTGGGATGGGGTGGAGACGTCTGCAGAGCCGCGCGTGAGCAAGATACACCGCCGGATCGACGTCTGGGCAGGCGAGAACCGGATTCACGATCAGCTTCGTGGCCTGCGTCGTGGCCGTGTAAGCCTTCTCTTCCGCATTCGAGATTCAGCGCGCGGTTCCTGCGTGTTCAGCGCGTGAACCCAGCCGCGTGTGTGTTCCAGCCTGCAGGGTCGCGAGCGACCTTCTCGCCCGGGTCCCCAGTCCCCGAGTAGCCCCAGAAATCAGGCCGCCCAGGACAGGAGGGGCTCTTAGGGGCCCCCCCGTCGCGTATCGCCGAGCTTGGCCCCCAACTCTTCCAGCTCGAAAGTCCCACAGAAGGTCGGGGGTTGGGGTCGCCATGCCCCCCGTGGGAGAAGGCCCCCCCGCGGCGGATCCGGCGGCCGAATCGCCTCCTTCCCCCCCCCGCCCCCAGGCAACGCGAGGATCTCCGCCCGCGTCCCGGGGCAGACCCACGCGTGGGAGGCCATGATGTCAGAGGCGCCGGGGCACCCCGTCCTTCCAGAATTCGGGGGCGGAAAAGAGGGGGGTGATGACTAGGGGGGGGTGGATTTCATGGCGGGGGCTATGATATTTCCCCAGATTTCATGGCGCCTCTTCTTATTTCGTTACGTCCCTGGCCCCCCCGCTGGGTCGCGCACATGCCGCCGGTTATGATTTGCACCCCCCCCTCTTGGACACCCCCCTCATGGCCGCTCCCGAAGAGTGCTACGAAATGGCCCTCCAGACCTCTAGGCCGATTTGGGCAGCCTAGAACTTCGGCTGGGATTTGGATGGCGAGGTCCTATAGTGCTATTATCGATGCTCCCTGGAAGGTCAGGGTAGGGGGGGGGGCGGGGGGCGCTCGGGGAGGGGGCTCGCAGAAGCGGGCAGGAGAGGGTAGGGCCGAGAGTGGAGGGACGAGGGAGGGGAAGAAGGAAGCAGGTAGGGGTCCACATGCGACCCTACCCCTACCCCCCACGATTTCTAAGGGGAGGGTGGGGTTCACTTTGCTCGGGAGCTCCCGAACGAAGTGAACCCCACCCTCCCCCTCAGAAATCGCATGTGGCCCCCTAGCAGGAGGGGAGGAGGGAGGATGGGGCCCAGGCCTTCCCTCCCTTCCCTCCGCCTCCCTTCTCCTCCCGGAGGGCTCCTCCCCTCCTGCAGCTCGCTCCCACGCGCCGGGCCCACGGTCTCACAGGAGCAGGAGGCTTTGGCACCATGGGTGCCGGATGTCTTCGATCCAAGGGGTCGGCGTGCGGGCTCGCCCACTGCAGGCTGGCCTTCTCGCCGTACTGGGTTCGCTTGGAGGCTTGCGACGCGCGCGCGCGTCTGACGGGTTTGGATCGACCAGGGTCAGGAGATCCCCGCCCGACTCGACCCCTACATCCGAGGGTTCGTAGAGGGGGGCTATCCCAAGGTGGGATTAGGGAACGAACCCAGCGGGATGCCCACGGATCGCCGATGTGGAGACCTGATAGCCCGCCCCGTCAAGGACCCCGCGGTCTCGCTGTTCAGAGCCTTTCGCCGACCTGTCCGCGAGGCTCCCCCTCGCTGAACCGGTCCCGCCGCGTGACCCTTCGTGGAGGGATCACAAATAGCACCAGGATCCCGATATCTGAACTTCCGTCGCGGTCTTCGGCGGCCGAGGTAGGTAACGGAAAGAGCGAGGTACGAGTGATGACGTTGTGTTTGGGCGAAGCACTCAAGGGGGAGTGCAGAGGGGGGGATGGGGCGGAGGGATGGGACCTAATGGCCGCTCGGGACGTCTTGGAGGCCTCTTGGCCGCTTCTTGGGCCGTCTTGGGCGCTCAAGGGTCCAAGACGGCTCCAAGACGGTCCAACATGCCCAAGACGGCCCAAAGACGGCCCAAGAGGGTCCCAAGAGGCCGCCAAAACGGTCCAAGAGGGCCCCAAGACGGCCCAAGAGGCGCCCAAGACGGCCCAAGAGGGCCCCAAAACGGCCCCAAGAGGGGGACCACGAATCGAAAAGTTTAGCCTTTCGCCCCAAGAAGCCCCAAGCGGCCCGCAGGAGGCCAAAATCATTGATTTCTGATCGAAAAACGACATTTTTAGCGTAGGCAGCTTTTCCGCTTTCACCGCGTTGATGACGGCCCAGAGCCCAAGAGGCCCCCCAAACCGCCCCATGACGGCCCAAGAGGGTCCCAAGAGGCCGCCAAAACGGCCCAAGAGGGCCCCAATACGGTCCGAGAGGCGCCCAGCACGGCCCCAGAGGGCCCCAAAACGGCCCCAAGAGGGGGACCACGAACCGAAAAGTTTAGCCTTTCGCCCCGAGAAGCTTCCATGAGGCCCCAGGAGCCCCACAAGATATGCCCCCTAAGAGCCCCAAAAGAGGCCCTCAAACGGCTCACAAGTTCTTGACACCAAAGCCCAGCCAATGCTCAGGAACGGGCGGCAACGTAACAATCTCTGAACACCAAGGCCCCCAAGAGACCCCCAGAGGCTCCCAAGAGGTCCACAAGAGGTCCCAGGACGGCCCATCAGAGACTTCGACACTGGCTCCATCAGGCCCGCCCCAAGAAGTTCGCAGGAAGCCTCACGAGGCCCCCAAGAAGCCTGCAGAGGTCCCCAAGAGGCCCCCAAGAGGCCCCCAAGAGGCCCGAAGAGGTTCTTCAGAGACCCAAAAGAGCGACGATGATGATGGTAATGCTGGAGATGATCATGATGATGGTCATGCTGGTGATGAGCCTCGACGGGTTCATTCCCAAGTGGGTTCTGTCGAAGGGTGCTTTCACTTCCACAGGGGCGGGACTGACCAAACCTGGCCCTTGTAGCATTCCCGGGGACTGACCCAAGACGGCTCAAGACGGCTCTCAGATCGCTCCAAGAAGGCCCAAGAGGCGCCCAAGAGAGCCCCAAGACGGCCCAAGAGGGACTCAAGACGGCCCAAGAGAGCCCCAAGACGGCCCCAGAGGGGCCCCAGACGGTCCAAGAGAGCTCCGAGAGGTCCTCCAAGAGCGAAGGGTGCCATGAGCCATCTCGGGCAGGTTGCTGCAGCGCTCTTTCCGTTTCCGCGCCGGCCCAGGTTATGGAAAGAGCGAGGTACGAGTGATGACGTTGTGTTTGGGCGAAGCCCTCTAGGGAGGGGTCCAGGGGAGGGGGGGGGGCGGAGGGATGGGACCTGATGGCCGCTCGGGGCGTCTTGGAGGCTTCTTGGGCTCTTCTTGGGCCGTCTTGGGCGCTCAAGACGGTCCAAGAGGGGTCCAAGATGGCACACGATACCTCCAAGACGGCCCAAGAGCGCTCCAAGAGAGCCCAAGACCGCCCAAGACGGCCCAAGAGGCCTCCAAGACGCCCCAAGAGGCGGCCAAGGGCCTTCAGGGTCCCAAGAGGCCAACATCATTGATTTTCCTTGGGAAAACATGCATTTTGAGTATACACGACTTTTCGGCCTCCACGGCGACGACGACGGCCCAAGAGGCCCCCCAAACCGCCCCAGGACGGCCCAAGAGGCTCCCAAGATGCCCCCAAAACGGCCTTTCGCCCCAAGAAGCTCCCATGAGGCCCCAAGAGCCCTCCACGAGGCCCCCAGCCCCCCAAGAGGCCACAGGAGGCCACACTCATTGATTTCTTATCGGAAATCCGGCATTTTTAGCATCTACGGCTTTTCGGCTTCACGGCGTTGACGACGGCCCTAAGAGGCCCCCCAAAACCGCCCCAGGACGGCCCAAGAGGCCCCCAAAACGGCCCGAGCGGGCCCCAAGACGGCCCAAGAGGCGCCCAAGACGGCCAAGAGGGCCCCAAGACGGCCCCAAGAGGGGGACCACGAACCGAACAGTTTAGCCTTTCACCCCAAGAAGCTCCCATGAGGCCCCAAGAGCCCCCCACGGAGCCCCCAGCCCCCCAAGAGGCCACAGGAGGCCACACTCATTGATTTCTCATCAGAAATCATGCGTTTGTAGCATCTACGGCTTTTCGGCTTTCACGGCGTTGACGACGGCCCAAGAGGCCCCCCAAACCGCCCCAAGACGGCCCAAGAGGCTCCCAAGATGCCCCCAAAACGGCCCAAGAGGGCCCCAAGACGGCCCAAGGGGCGCCCAAGACGGCCCCAAGAGGGGGACCACGAACCGAAAAGTTTAGTTTTTCGCCCCAACACGCTCCCAGGATGCCCCAAGAGCACCCCAAGAAGCCCCAAGAGGCCCCCAAGAGGCATCCCAAGAGGCCACCAGGAGGCCAAACTCATTGATTTTCCTTGGGGAAATCATGCATTTTGAGCATACACGGCTTTTCGGCTTTCACGGCGTTGCAGACGTTCCAAGAGGCCCCCAAGAGCGCCACAAGATGGAGTGGCTCCCAAGAGGCTTTTAAAATTGACCAAAAGGCCCCAAGGCGGCCCAAGAGGCTCCCAAGACGGCCCAAGAGGGCCCCAAGACGGCCCCAAGAGGGGGACCACGAACCGAAAAGTCTAGCCCTTCGCCCCAAGAAGCTCCCAGGAGGCCCCAAGAACCCTCCAAGAAGCCCCAAGAGGCCCCTAAAAGGGCTCCCAAAGGGCCCCAATAGGACTCCCAAGAAGCCCCGGGACGCCACATTACCCTGGCGACGTACCCAACCCCTGCGCAATGCGGGGCAGGAGTACCTTGGGAGACTTCACGAGAAGGCGGCGACGTGGCATGGACGCATATACTTCTGCGAGCGGCATTCGGGAGGTTCGCAGGTCCGGGAAAACGTTGAGCAACTAAGTGAATTCCTGAGTCACTAAGGAAGACGCAGGGTCCAAAAGGAGACGGTGGGCAAGGGGCTTGAAACGACGGCGGGGCAGCAACAACATGACATGGCCGCCCAGGGACGGCGAGGTCCCGCTCAGGTCCGCGCGGTGCCTCACTCCGCTGGGCCCACCAGCAGTCTTCGAAAGTGGCGAGCCCACCAACAGCCCTCGAAAGTGGCGACAGTTTCGCAGATGGCAGCCCCCCAGGGACGGCGAGGTCTCGCTCAGATCCGCGCGGTGCCTCACGCCGCTGGACCCACCAGCAGCCCTCGAATGTCGCGACAGGTTAGCAGATCGCAGCCCGCCCAGGGACGGCGAGGTCTCGCTCAGGTCCGCGCGGTGCCTCACTCCGCAGGAACCACCAGCAGCCCTCGAAAGCGGCGACAATTTCGCAGATGGCAGCCCCCCCAGGCACGGCGAGGTCTCGCTCAGGTCCGCGCGGTGCCTCACTCCGCTGGACCCACCAGCAGCCCTCGAAAGTGGCGACAGTTTCGCAGATCGCAGTCCCCCAGGGACAGCAAGGGGTCGCTCAGGTCCGCGCGGTGCCTCACTCCGCAGGACCCACCAGCAGCCCTCGGAAGTGGCGACAGTTTCGCAGATGGCAGCCCCCCAGGGACGGCGAGGTCTCGCTCAGGTCCGCGCGGTGCCTCACTCCGCTGGACCCACCAGCAGCCCTCGAAAGCGGCGACAATTTCGCAGATCGCAGCCCCCCAGGGACGGCGAGGTCTCGCTCAGGTCCGCGCGGTGCCTCACTCCGCAGGACCCACCAGCAGCCTTCAAAAGTGGCGACAGTTTCGCAGATCGCGACCCCCAGGGACGGCGAGGTCTCGCTCAGGTCCGCGCGGTGCCTCACTCCGCTGGACCCACCAGCAGCCCTCGAAAGCGGCGACAGTTTCGCAGATCGCAGCCCCCCAGGCACGGCGAGGTCTCGCTCAGGTCCGCGCGGTGCCTCACTCCGCTGGACCCACCAGCAGCCCTCGAAAGTGGCGACAGTTTCGCAGATCGCAGCCCCCCAGGGACGGCGAGGTCTCGCTCAGGTCAGCGCGGTGCCTCACTCCGCTGGACCCCCCAGCAGTCCTCGGAAGTGGCGACAGTTTCGCAGATGGCAGCCCCCCAGGGACGGCGAGGTCTCGTTCAGGTCCGCGCGGTGCCTCACTCCGCTGGACCCACCAGCAGCCCTCGAAAGTGGCCGCAATTTCGCAGATGGCAGCCCCCCGGGGACGGCGAGGTCTCGCTCAGGTCCGCGCGGTGCCTCACTCCGCTGGACCCACCAGCAGCCTTCGAAAGCGACGACAGTTTCGCAGATCGCAGCCCCCCAGGGACGGCGAGGTCTCGCTTAGCTCCGCGCGGTGCCTCGCCCCGCTGGATCCACCAGCAGTTTTCGAAAGCGACGACAGTTTCGCAGGTCGCAGCCCCCAGGCAAGGCGAGGTCTCGCTCAGGTCCGCGCGGTGCCTCACTCCGCTGGACCCACCAGCACCCCTCGAAGGTGGCGACAGTTTCGCAGATGGCAGCCCCCCAGGGACGGCGAGGTCTCGCTCAGGTCCGCGCGCCCTGGAAAGCCCTCGACGGGGCGGAGCTGATCGATGGAGACCACCCCAGGGCCTGAAAACCTCCAGCAGCCCCTCGGCACCCTTCGAACACCTTCCGTCGCGCTCTTCTCACGGCGCATGTTGTTTCCGCTACGCCGGGGTATGTCAGTTGGCGGCATCCACAAGGTGGTGGCGCGAGAGGGGTGGCCCAATGTTTCAGGAAAAGCGGCTGGGGCTTCTTCGAAGGAGCGGGCATGTTAAGAAGTGTTTGGAGGCCCGGTTTCTGAGAAGGCTTCTTAGAAGCCAGGCCGGAGCCCCGCCGCCTTCTCACGGTTGGCGTTGGGAAGATCGCGCAAGTTCTGGCGCCGCCGGCCCGCTTTTTCACATCATCCCCCACCTTGGGGAGAGCGTTCACCGCAGAAGCCCTGGCATGCAGGGGGATAGCGTGCCCAGAAGGGGCCTTCGCGGGGGGATCGCCCCACAGGGATGGCGTGCCTTTCGGAGGTCGATGTGGCGCGCCATCTCTCCAACGCCAAGCGCAGTGGCCCACGCCCCCGCGCCACTCCTCAAGCAGTGGCGAAGCGTCCTGGCTCGCCTATAGCCCTACCAAACAATGTTCTAAGAACCTTTCGTGGTTCCCACGAAATGTTCTTAGAACATTTCTGGCTTGGACTGTCTTGTTTTAACACATCGGGTTTATGTTCTAAGAATATTGCTTTTGTTATTAGAACATTTTTGGGTTCTAAGAACATTTCGTGGTATGACTATAGGAATGCCGGGACGGTCGGTCCCTGCTCAAACTCCCTCGTGCGTGCCGCCATGTCAGGGCCTGAGGTGTGCGATCATGGACCCCTCGGTTGAACACAGCCACCGCAGCCTTCGTGCCAGAGACCGCTGGAAATCGCCGAGGACCCTGGGGAACCGCCGACGACCGTCCCTCGCCGAGCGCGGTCCACTACTCGCAAGGTGCCTACTCGCGAACGTCCGAAAAACATATGTCTGCTTCGATGTAAGTTATCGGAGATCCCCGGCAAAGGATCCAGACCATCTGCGAGTCGTTGCTTTTCGGAGGTGGAAAAGAGGGGGGTGATGACTAGGGGGGGGGGGATATCATGGCGGGGGCCATGATATTTCCCCAGATTTCATGGCGCCTCTTCTTATTTCATTACGTCCCTGGCCCCCCGCTGGGCCGCGCACATGCCACCGGTCATGATTTGCACCCCCCCCTCTTGGACACCCCCCTCTTGGCCGCTCCCGATGCTTTGCGAGTCGTGAGACGCGCTCGTCGAGTCCGGGGACAGCCGAAGACCGCCCGGAGACCGCCGAGGACGGCCCAGGAGCGGTGAGCGACAGAGCTCGGCGGCGAGCTGGGGGGGGAGTGAGAAGGGGGCGGGCCTCGTCCCCCGGCCGGGGAGAAGCTTTCGGAGCCCTCCCCGAGGACAGAAGTCGACCAGACGTAAGAGTGACCTTTCGCCGGAGTGACCTTTGGTGCGGGCACAGATGGGTCCCCGGATGGCTGAAAATGAAGCAGGAGCAGCGGCTTGCGCGCCCAGGTTTGGTCCCCCCGCGGCCCCCTAAAAAGCCGCGCACCAAAGGTCACTCTCACCCAGGGTCACTCCTGCGTGTAGCCGAAGAAGGAAGCTTCTCAGAACGCGCAAGGGTTGTGGAGGACGATCAATGGAGAGGAAACACGTTGCCAAATAATTGCCAGAGGTCAAAAGATGTCTTAAACATGTCCAAACATGTAAAAACATGTTTGAAGCATGTCATAATATGTGTCCGACCTGTTAAACACATTTTCAATTCAGTGGTAGGATTGTTATTGTCGTGGTATCCACGAAGCAATGGCTTCTGAGAAGTGACGCCGCCTTCTGAGAAGGCTTGCTCCTTCTCACTGTCCCCCCTCGTTTGTCGCCGAAGGGAGCCCATTTGGTGTTCGCTGGGATGTGAGGGCTTCCCGGGGGCCCCTTGGAGGCAGGCCGGACGCCTCTCGGGGGCCGTTTTTGGGGGACTCCTGGAGGCCTCTTCTGGGCCTCTCTCGCTCCTGGGGGCCCCCCGGGGGCCTCCTTGGGCAGCCTCCTGGGCGCCAACGGCCGAGCACGGCGACGGGGGGGCGCCGGCGCAGTCCGCCCTCGCGCGCGACCGCGGCGGCGGTGGCGGTGATGGCGTCGTCGTCGTCGTCGTCGTCGTCGTCGTCGTCGTCGTCGTCGTCGTTGTCGTCGTCGTCGTCGGCGTCCTTGTTCTCGTCGTCGTCCTCGCCGCCGCGGGGGCCGCCCGTTGGCCCGCGCGAGGCGTGCGCCCGCGACGTGCGGGCGGCGCTGGAGGGCGGGCCCGCGCCGGAGGCGCCCCGCCCGGGGGGGGGGGCGCGCGGCGGGCCTCGCCAGCGGCCCGGCGCAGGAGGTGAAGCAGTGGCGAGGCGTCCTGGCCCGCCTATAGCCCTACCAAGCAATGTTCCGAGAACCTTTTTTGTGGTCTCCACGAGGTGTTCTTACAGTCGGGGCCCTGAAGAAGAAACCCTTTTCGTTGGGGAGGGGCTCGGTGTTCCTTGATTGTTTCACAGCTTGCCTCAGGTTTTCCTTAGGTTTTCGAAGAGACATCGAAGTTTAACTTCTGGAGAAAAGGGGCCTCGTTCCTAATTTAGGGTTCCTTAGGGCAACGCCCCGACTGTATAGCCCTACCAAACAATGTTCTGAGAACCTTTTGTGGTCTCCACGAAGTATTCTCAGAACATTCCTGGCGGATTCTCTGTCTTGTTTTAACATGTCGGGTTCATGTTCGAAGAACATGGTTTTGGTTCTTAGGCGCGCCATCGGCCAGGCGCAGGACCTCGCCATCGGCCAGGCGCAGGATCTGGACGCCCGAGATGGGCACGGAGAGAATGGGTACGATGCCCAACAGCAGTTCCTGTTCCTTCTGAACAGGACTCGCTGTCCACGCCGCCGCGGCCTGTGTCCATTCGAGACAGGAGGCCGCCTGCCCAACAGCGGCCGCTGTCGGTTTGTGACAGCACTTGCTGTTGGGCATTGTACCCATTCTTTCCGTACCCATTTCGGGCGTCCAAACAGGAGGGGGGACCGTTCGCTGGAGCGGCCTGCGGCTTGGCATCGCTCGGCCGTGTGTATATTGTGTATTTTATTTCGGCGAGGGCCCCATCGAGGAGCATCTGGGGCCAGCGGGCAAAAGAAGGCACGCAGGGAACCGAGCAGCGCACAGGGAATGAGCGTGAGAGCGACGGCAAGCTGGTGCGGGCCCCACTGGGAGCCCCCCGAGCGGCAAGCGCGAAGCGGCAGCAGCGGCTCTCGCGCCGAGGTTTGGCCACCCCGCGTCCCCACCGCGTAGCCGCGCACCAAGGATCACTCTTGCCTGGGCAGATTTCTTTCTTGTAGCCGGCTCCAGGAGGGCCAGAAGATTTAGCACCAGGACCTCGACATCCAAACTCCTCCAGGGAGGTTGTTGGCAGTCCAGATAGGTTTGTAGGTCTGGGGGACAATTTTAGCCCGCTGGAAGCTTTCCAGAGTGCCAGAAGTAGCCCCCCCAGACCTACAGACCTATCTGGACTGCCTAAAGCCTCCCTGGAGGAGCTCGGATGTCGAGGAACTGGTGCTAAATCGTCTATCCCTCCTGGAAGGTCGGGGGTGTCAGGACCCGTGTCGGTCCGATCTCATCCGACTCCGATGTGCCTTCGATCCGATGCGGCCCGATGCTTTTGCATGGCGCTGTTGTGCAACCTGGCGCTGCCGATCGGGTTCGATCCCGAGCCCGTGCCGCTGCGGGCCGATTCGAGGCTCACTCCGATCTGGTCCGGCGTCCCGATTCGATGCCGACTCTTCCTGGGACAACCTGGCGCTGCCGATCGGGCTCGATCCCGCGCCCGTGCCGCTGCGGGCCGACTCGAGGCTCACTCCGAGCCGCTCCGGCGTCCTCAGTCGGTGCCGACTCTTCCCTGTGGGGGGTCGGCTCTCGGCGGTTGTTTCCCCGGCCCCGGGGCGCCTGCCAGCAGCCGCGCCTCGCCGAAGCCGTGCTGGGGGTGCCCGGATGTCGGCCCGAGCGTCCGCCACAGAGCAGAGCGATTCGGTGGTGGAGAGACCTCCTACTCCAGATTTCGTAATATAAAGGGAGGGGGGTCTCATTTCGGGGGGGGGTCTCTTCCAAGCTATCTTGGAGGGCCTGGGGGGGTCTGGGGACGATGTTTTGGAGGGTTTTCCCACGGGGGGGGGTCTGAAATGGCTTTTCTTGGAGGGTCCAGACCCCCTCCCTTTTATTACGAAATCTGGAGTACCCTGACACGTCGATAAAGGAATTGGCCGTGTTCGGTTCGCGAGAGGGCGTCGCGGCCGTCACTTTTGCGGTCCGGGCCCGTCGGCTTCGGCCCCAGGCCGTGCTAGGCCGCTTTCACTAAGGGGAGGTTTGCTAAAGGGAGGCTTGTCCACCGCCGAATATCCGAAAACGGCCCAAGATGACCGGCTGCACGTGAACGGTGCGATGTCGAAGACGGAGAGTTGGACACAGAGAGTGCCATATTTCAGGCTGGACGTCAGCGGTTCATCATCGATGGTTGTGTTGTGCCGCTTTCACGAAGGGGAGGTTTGCTAACGGGAGCTCTGTCCACCGCCGAGTGTGATGGCCCGAAGCGCATCGGCCCCAAGTCGCCAAGTCATCGCCGACGGGAGGGGGGGGCCGACGGCCCACCCCTTCTCGTCGGGCATCGAGCAGGAGGGAAGGAAACACACAGGCACGATTCATCGTCGACTCCCCAGAAGATATGGGAAAACATGGGGATGGGGGTGGGAGACAAGAACCCAGAAGATATGGGAAGCTATGGTGAATATTTACGTGTGTGTGTATTTATTTGTGTGTCCTGGGGCCCCTTCAATTGAGAAAAAACCCACCCAGACAAGTCGACAGGACATCTGCATGGGTTCACGCGATTTTGGCACTCGCACGTGCTGGTGCGGTCCCTGGTCGGTCTCGTGGCAATCGACGTGCATGTGGCCAGATACGTTAAGGTTGCTCTGAGACGTCGATCAGCCACCCCGCTGGGGTTCACTCAGAGTGCGGTGCCGTGCGCACGTGGAGAACGCCTTCGGCGGTTTCGATTTGAAGGGCGTTTTGCTACAGAAAGGGTGCTCTGTCAATCGTCCAGGGAGGGCTGGCGCGCGGCGAGGGCTCGCCGGGGGCGGTGGGGGAGGAGGAGGAGAAGGTACAGTGCCGTTTTTTTACACATGTTCCGCGTGCGGATCGTGTATTGAAAATGCAGGGATTTAGTATCAAAAGCAACGATGAGTCCATGCATAAGTTTATTCCTAAATTAATCATGTATTAAACATCCGATATTTACAAACAAATGTGTATTAAAAACTGCCCTGTACCAAGACCGCTGCTCTGCCCCGGTTGCGCCTCGTGGGGCCTCCCGCAAGGCGCCCGGCGCCACGGCCAGAATCGCGTCGAAGCGTTGTGCAGGGAGCGCATGCCGGGAGAGGAGTGGGGGAGCAGCGGTCTCGGTGTTTGTTGTTTCCCCAGGGTTAAGTCGGGCCTGTCCCCCTACAGGGGGATTTTCGACGAAAAATAAAACATGTTCCAAACATAGTGCAAAAATAACCCCAAAATTTTACAGGGACTATTCTTGGTGTATGTTTGTTGACCTGTTTGGTGCATTTTTGGGTATGTTTTATTTTTCGTCGAAAATCCCCTGTAGGGGGACACGCCCGACCTAACCCCAGGGGTGGTTCTTGGGGGGGGGGGCCTTTTTTGGCCAGGTCTCGGGCCCGCGGCGTGCTCCCCTGAGACGAAGCGCCGCCGCCTGGCCAGGAGCCGACGCCCCCGGCGGGTGCTCCCCGGGGAGGGCCGCCCCGTGCTTCCGGGGCATCGACGGGGGGTCGGCGGAGGGTTCGAGGACACAGTCAAAAACCCTTAATAAGGACGCGCGGCTTTGCTCAGGGTACCCTTGCTCTTCCTTGCTCTTCCTTGCTCTCGCGTCCTTGGGGTTTTCGGCGTCCGCCGCCCCAGAAATCCCAACTTGGGCTTCCGAGGGTCTTACGTCCTTACCGCGCGTCCTTACTAGGGTTTTTGACTGCAGATGCTCCCGGGCGCCCTCGGCACTTCTCGGCGGGGTCCCGGCCCCGGGATGCTCCTCTCGGGCAGGCGCGCCTCGCCGAGAGCGGCCTCGGGGTATACCCAGATCGTCCCGAGCGGCCGCGGGCGAGCGGAGTCGGGGCCCGCAGTGGGGCTCGCGTGACCAGAGTCAGCGCTGCCTGGGGGGCCAGCGGGTCCCCTCCGGCTGACTCGGGTTTGGGAACCGCGCGGGGCCGATGCTCCCTCCCCGCCGCCCTCTGACCCGCCGGGTTGGGGAGCTGTCAGGCGGCCAGCCCGGCGTCGCGGGCCCCGGCCGGCCCGGGCTTGGGGCTGAGACCCTGGTTGCTGCGTTCCCGAGGGGAGGCGGGGACCGGGGGGGGCGGAGAGGGCGGGAGGAGGAGGAGGTTGGAGTGTGGGGGGGGGAAGGAGGCGGGGAGGAGCCAGAATGACGACGGAGGGGGGGGGGAGTACAGGAGGGGTGGGAAGGGGCAGCCCGCACCTGGCCGCCCCGCGCCCTCCTTGCGCCTCCAGCGGCGGGGTCAGTCGTCCCCCTTGACGGGGGCGCTCCGCTCCTTCCTTGGGGGCCTGACGACTCGCGGGGCTCCCCGCCCAGACCGGGGGGAGGGGGACGGGGAGGGAGGGGTAAGAACAAGGAGTCAGGGGACTCGACGAGAAGTCGCTCGGAGCCGCCTGTGCCCCAAAAGGGCTGGTGGGATGCGTGGGAGGTGCCCTCTCACTCCTCGCGGCGGAAGGAGAAGCCGCTCCAGACAACACCAGCAGGGCATGTGCCGGCCACAACGTGCCCGCGCCTCTCCTCCACGCGGTGTCCAGAGAGAGAGAGAGAGAGAGGAAGGCGAAGCGGAAAAACGCAGGTTCGTGTTGCCCCTCTCCTCCGCCTCCGCCTCCGCCTCCCCCTCCTCCTCCTCCTCCGCCTCCGCCTCCCCCTCCTCCTCCTCCTCCTCCTCCTCCTCCTCCTCCTCCTCCTCCTCCTCCTCCTCCTCCTCCTCCTCCTCCTCTCGGCGGGGAGGCGATGCAACTCCATACCCCCACGGCAGGGCCACCCCGTGCCCGGAGTCCCGCGGCGCACCCTCGCGGCACGGCGCCCCGCGGTTGAGGGGCATCGATACGGGGGCTCGGCGGGGGCGTCGAGGTTCGAGCCTCGATCGAGATCTCTGGGCGCGTCCGGCGGTTCTCGACGGCGCTTGCCCAGCCTCTGGGTGCCTTCTGGCAGCGGCGCCTCGCCGAGAGCGTTCTGGAGGGGGGCCCGAACAGCCGCCAGGGAGCAGGGTTGTGACCCGAGAGCCAGGGGGCCTCCGAGGGAAGCGTATCGACCCCCAAACGGCCTGATTATCCGTCGCCGATCGCGGCCCGGGCCCTTCCCGGCAGCGCGCGGCCTCCCTGTCGGGGACCTGGTGCTCATCCACCGGCGGCGTATCGCTCCGAGCACAGCACCCGAGCCAGCCCCCCTCGAGCCCCCCCCCCCCCCCCTCCTCAGCGCTCCTTTGACGATGGCCGGTGCCGTGCGTCGTGCGCTTCCCTCTCCACTGCGTGTGCGCCTCGTGCGCTGCCGCCTCCCGCGCGCGCGCGTGGGCCTCGCCCGCGCCAGGGGCGGGCGCGGCCGGCGCTGCCCGACCTCAGCGTCGACGAAGCCATGGCAGCGGGGGGGGGGGAGGCGGTCGGCCGGGGCCCGGCCCAGGTCTGGGCAGCAGAGGGAGGTGTGCGAGTTCGTGTGTTGCGGAGGGGGGTTGGAGAGGGAGAGGGAGAGAGGGGGCGGGGAGAAGGGGAAGGAGACCGAGCGAGGAGCGCGAGGGAGGATCGGGAGGAGTTGTGGGAAGAGGGAGGGGCAGGAGGAGGGCGAGGGGTGGAGGGGGAGGGATGGGAGGGCCAGTTGTCCCCAGGATGGCGAACACCATGCAGATGATTGTTGGCAGTCCGAGGCATCAGCTTTCTACGAGGCCCAACCGTTGTCGGAAGTATTATGCTGTCGCGCTGCTCGGCGCCCCAACTCGACCAGACCGTAGAGCCCAGGCTCAAGCGAGCCGCAGCGTTCGTTCGCACGGAGCACGGTCTGCTGCCGCTCCTTAACCGCCCATCCACGCGACTCTCTCGCGCCCTTGCCTCGGCCACTTTCACTTTGCATCACCACGGGCTGTTCCAGCCGCGGTCGCAACGATCGTTCCCCGTCCTGGGGCGGGCAACCGTAGCGTCGGCCGTCTCGTGCGGCGTCTCGGGACTTTGCCATCCGACAGGAGGGGAAGGGGGAGGGAGAAATGAGGAGAGCGGAGGAATATCGGACAAAGTTTTTTGCGGGGGGGGAGGAGGGATGAATGAGGAGAGGTTGATGAGGTGAGCAGAGGACGGAGGGATCAGCAGCATTTCGCAGTAGCACAATCGGCAGCGGGCAGGGACACATTTGCAGGGGCAGATTTAGGGGGGCCCAATTGGTCGGACGGATCGGCGATGATATCAGGAGAAGTCGTGGGAGGAGGGAGGGGGGAATACGAGGAAGAAGAGGGATGAGGAGGCGGAGCAAAGGGAATGTGGAGGAGGAGGAGGTGTTTCCCTTCACGTGCACAATCAGTGGTATCTGTTCTTATCGATATCGTTTGACGTCCGCAGCTCATTTGTGTCAAAGGAGCGTTGCATGGTAGCGGAGCGTCGGTTTGACCGGCGCTCCCGCGCACCAGCCCGGCCGCGCTCCAGCGCGGCCCGCCCTGCACACTCCAGCCACGGCTTCGAGCAGCGATAGCGGGGCTGCCGGCGGCGTGTGGCTGTGGGTGCCAGACGAAGAGGCTCAGGTCGAGAAGACCAACGGCAGGGTGCAGCGCAGGTGGCGCCACGTGGTGGCGAAGGTGCTGAAGCAGAAGTACCTGAAAGGTTTCTGGTCGGTGCTCGGTGAGTACCTCAAATACGTCAAGGCCAGGCAGCTGCGATGAACGACCAAGAGAGGCAGGCCCTAGCCAGCCTGCAGTCGGCCGTGGAGGCGCTGAGGCTCCAGAATGCGCAGTTGTCACAGCAGGCCGAGCAGATGCAGCAGCAGAATGTTCAGATCCGGACGGAGCTCGCTCGACAGGTCCAGGCGCAGGGAAATCTACCGCGTCTGGCAGAGCAGCTCGGAGATGCGGTGCAGAAGCTGTCGGATGAGCGAAAGGATAGGTCATCTGCGCCAGCCTTTTCCCTTGTGGACACCAAGGGGCTGGGCAAGCCCTCCATCTTCAAGAATGAGGAAGCGAAGTTCCTGGAGTGGTACCGCAAGACGAACGCGTACCTGACGGCAGTCTTCGGAGAGCAGTTCCGCAAGCTGCTGGAGTGGGTGGAGGATCAGGCGCAGGAGACCACGGTTATCAGCATGGAGGTTCTGGAGGCACGGTTCGGCAGCGACGACGATGATGAAGACGAATTCATTCCAGACCTCCGCGAGAAGGTCAGCCAGCTGTATGTTGCACTCCAGACGCTGACAGAAGGTGAGAGCTTCGCCCTAGTGATGGACACTCTCAAGGGCAACGGCGCTGAGGCGATGAGGAAGCTCATCAGACGCTGGGACCCCGCTTCGGGGGGCAAGCGCCGTGTGCTCTTGAAGCAGATCATGAACCCGCAGCGGTGCACCCTCAGCGACTTGTACGCCAAGCTCGAGGAGTGGGAGGAGCTCATCCGCCGGTACGAGAGGAAGAAGGCAGACGGCCTGGGCAAGGTGGTCGATGACGACGTGAAGGTTGCAGCCTTGGAGACGATGGTGCCGGAAGAGCTCGAACTCCACCTCGCGATGAACAAGCATCGGTTGGACACGTCGGAGAAGGTCGTAGAGGAGATCAGGAGTTTCCTGGAGTCGAGACAGTCGCAAGGTGCCCTACTCCGACGGAAGCGAGGTGACCCAATGGACGTGGACTCGCTGTACAAAGGAGGCAAGGGCAAGTCCAAAGGTAAGGGTGACAAGAACGGCAAGAAGGGCCAGACCACCAAGCCGCGTGACAAGCGGACGGTGCAGTGCTGGCGCTGCAGTGGCTGGGGCCATACGTCTAATGAGTGCACAGCCCGCCTGCCTGGCGGGAAGACCGGCGACGGCAAGGGCAGCAAAGGCAAAGGCAAGGGCAAGGACGCGGACAAGGACAAAGGCAAGGGCAAGAATCGTCGCTGGGACACCAACTCCTTCGAGCCCGGTGCCGCGTCGAGCTCGAGCCAGCCGGTCTACACAGACAACTGGGACGACGGCAACCACAGCACGATCACCAGCCTACCGCCTTCAGCGAGCCAGGTGGGTTCCACGAACCTTGGCTCCTTCGAGCTGTGCACGCTCGAGCTCAACAGCTTCGACGAGACCGTCGACGACCAGGAGTGGATCAGGTTCACGTTCGACTCGGGCGCGGCCGTTACCACCTTCCCCGAGAACACCAAGGGTGAGCGGCTCCCGGCCGATCCGAATGCGAGCTATCGGACGGCCAGCGGTGAGATCATAGCAGACTCGGGCGGTGTATGCATCCAAGGGCGATCCGAGTGGAGCGAGCCGATCAGACTTAAAGGCACGCCTGGCCAGCATCCACAAGCCGCTGGTCTCGGCCTCGCAGACTCACCGCACGGGCCGGGCCACCTGGCTGACGAAGGAGGGTGGCTACATCCTCCCGGCCGGCTCGGACATCGTGAACCGCGTCGACGCTCTCATTCGTGACGCTGTGTGGAGTGAGTCGGGCGTGGTGCCGCTGTATGTTGAGAAGGGCGTCTACGCAGGCTACATCAAGAAGAACGAGGGAGGCCACGTCAGGAGAGTCACGTTCGGCGACCACCGCGAGAGCTGGGACTTGTGCCCGGTCGAAGGCGGGTCGCCAGTCCCTCCCCGGCAGGCCTGGCCGTAAGGCCGGGAGGAGGCGGCGTTGTGGCTGGGAGCCCGGGCCCAGCGCCGCCCACCGACTTAGACGTGGGCCAGGAGGAGGAGCAGCAGGCGCCGGAGGTGGCACCCGCTCGAGTCGCGCGCCGTGGCAGGGCGCCGACGCAGGCAGAGCGGGAGCAGCACTTGGCATCGGGACACGCGGTCTACCGTTCGTGGTGCGAGGAGTGCGCGCGGGCAGCCGGGCTTGGCGCCCCGCACGCCAGGCGACCCGAGGATCGTGATGACGCCGACCCGGTCGTCAGCATGGACTTCGCCTTCGTTGGGGAGACGGTCCCGGGCGTGGAGGACGACGGCTCCATCCCCATCTTAGTGGTGACGGACCGCAAGTACGGCATGAAGGGGGCGACCGCCGTCACGGACAAGACCGCGTCCGACTTTGTGGTCAAGTGGCTCGTGGGCTTCTTGAAGCACCTCGGGCACCGCCGCGTCGTGCTCAAGTCCGACGGCGAGGCGAGCATCTGTGCGATCAAGAATGCGGTGATGGTTGGTGTGGGCCAGCATGTCGAGTGCATCCCGCAGGAGTCGCCCAAGGGCGAGCACAAGAGCAACGGCGAGGTCGAAGCCAGCGTGAAGGAGGTGAAGAAGGTCATCCGAGCGAACTTCTTCTCCATGCAGAAGTCCTTCGGCTTCGAGGTCTCGCCGGGGCATCCCATCGTCAGGTGGCTGCCCCAGTTTGCCGCGGACTCCATCTCCAAGTTCAGGCTCGGCGTTGACGGCATGTCGGCCGAGCAGCGGAGGTGCGGCCGCCCCTGGAGGAAGTTCGCGGCGGAGTTCGGCGAGAGGGTGCAGTATCGACCTCTCGGAGTCGGAGACGAGAGGAGCACGCTGGCCCCCAAGATGCTCATGGGGCACTTCGTGGGCTACCACTCGCGGACAGGCGCACTGCTCGTCATGACGCAGTCGGGCGTGGTGCGGGCCCAGGGCTTCAAGCGCCTACATCGAGCCCAGGCATGGTCGCCGGAGAAGCCAGGGTCATGGGGCAAGCTTGCTGGACTGCCGTGGGAGGTTTCCCCCGCGGTGTTGCTCGCGCAGCCCATGGGCCCGATCATCGTGACTAGAGACACGCAGGAGGACCACGACACTGTGGTCAGGAGACGCTACGTACTCAAGAAGGACATCGAACGCTTCGGAGCTACTCCGGGGTGTCCAGGCTGCGCGGACCTCATGGCAAGGGGGTCGGCGCGGGTCGCGCACTCCCAAGAGTGCCGCGATCGCATCGAGGCCGAGCTGATGAAGGACTCGGCAGGCCAGCGGAGACTGGCGGAGCACCACCTGAGGGCGAGTGCTCGCGAGGCTCAGGCGGAGGAGAGCGCGGCGCAGCCGGCGCCCCAGCCTGGAGCAGCTGCAGCCAGCAGCGGAGGAGGCGCCGCGGCAGTACCCGGCGCAGACGTGGCCATGGCAGGCCCACGTGCAAGCGCCCCGGCGACGCCACAGGCAGCATCGAGGAAGCGTGCTGCGAGCGTGTCCGCCGAGGAGCGCCGCCCGCCGCAGTTGCGAGACGGGCCGAGAGGGCTCAAGAGAGCTGGGAGCGAGCCGGACCTCCACGGGCAGATGATCGTGGACGGAGGCTCGAGCTCGTCGGCTGGACCGGCGAGCGCGGCAGTGTCCGCCGGGCTGGCGCAGCCCGCGCCTAGCCCAGAGGGGGCTAGAGGAGGTGGCGACATGGAGGACTTGGCAGGACCAGCTGCACGAGCTGGCAGCTCCATGGACGTCGGCGCCTTTGACGAGGTCAAGGGCAAGATCTACAAGGAGATCCTGGCGCTGGTGAGCGCCACGGACTTGATCGGCGACAACGTCATGTCGATCGAGGAGCTGAAGGAGGTGTCCGCGCTGTTGACCGAGATCAACGGGGTCGACCTCGCGGAGGTCTACTCGCCCGAGCGCTTCAAAGAGAAGGCGCTCGGCATGGGCCTGACGGCAGGCCTCGCGGCGGACCTCTACACCGGCTGGGACTTGCTTCGCGAGGACCACCGCCGAGCAGTCATGAAGAAGCTGCTGGAGGAGGACCCTCTCCTCACCGTGACCTCTCCGCCGTGCACGGTTTTTTCCAAACTCAGGAAGCTCAGCAACTTCAAGCGGGACGAGGGCATCGTGGCTTCCGAGGTCCTCGAGGGAGAGACACACCTGGAGTTCTCCATGAAGGTGTGCGAGAGCAGGCATCAGCGAGGAGCACTTTTCCTGCATGAGCACCCCTGGGGAGCATCCTCCTGGTCGCGGCCGTGCGTCCAGAGGGTCAAGGAGTTGCCGGGCGTGTACTTTGTGCGCGGCCCGATGTGCCGCTGGAGCCTCCACGCTCGGGGGCCCGATGGGCGAGAGGCATTCGTGCGCAAGGAGACGGGCTGGCTGACGAACTCGCAGGTCTTGGCCGACATCCTTGCTGGGGAGTGCCGCTGCCAGTCCATCGGCGGCGAACCCTACCGGCACGTGCACTTGATCGGCGACAGGAGGGCTCGAAGGGCGCAGGTGTACCCACCCCGCCTGGTCAGAGCCATCCTTCGCGGCCTCAGGGAGGAGCTTCGACTTCGAGAATCGCTGTCTGACCTGGCAGGCTTCACCGCCGGGCCCTCGCCTCACGCCGAGGATATGGACCAGGAGGCGGAGGCGTTCGTGGACGACGTCCGCGGGGGCTTCCTCGACCCGCTGAAGGTGAAGGAGGCCAGGGCTGAGGAGCTGGAGTGGTGCCGCAGCCGTGGAGTGTGGAAGAAGGTTCCACGCCGCGAGATGGAGGCGGAAGGAGGTCGTGCCATCGACACGCGGTGGATTGACACCAACAAGGGGGACCTCGAGCGACCGTTGTACCGCTCGAGGCTTGTGGCACGGGAGATGAAGGTTCGCCGGCGCGCCGAGGGGCTGCTGCCGCCGCAGCAGGACCTCTTCTCGGGGACGCCGCCGCTGGAGGCGTTCAAGGCGCTGGTCAGCCTTTTCCTTAGCAGGGTGTTCGAGCAGCTCCAGAGCTCGGAGCCCCGCGAGGTGCTGTACAAGTTCTACGACGTGTCGCGTGCCCATTTCTACGGGCACGTGCAGAGGCGTCTCTGGGTGGAGCTTCCGCCCGAGGAGCGCCAGGACGAGGAGGAGCCACTCGTCGGACTTCTCCTTCGCACGATGTACGGCACGATGGATGCGAGCCAGGTCTGGCAGGGTGACTACGTCGAGCTGCTCAAGTCCGTCGAGTTCCTGCAAGGGAAGTCGAGTCCCGCCATCCTGTGGCACCCAGGGCGTGACATCGCCCTCGAGGTGCATGGCGACGACTTCGGCGTGCTGATGTATGCAGACGACGAGGCCTGGTTTGACGAGCTGTTGAAGAAGTACGACTACAAGGTCACGGGCCGCCTATCCTCGGCGGCCGAAGGGGTCCAGAGCACGGTCTACCTGAACCGCGTGCTCATCTGGGATCCCGCTGCAGGTGAGGCACGCATCGAGTCTGACGTCCGCCACGTGGACATGATCCTTCGGGACCTGCACCTGTGCGACGCCAAGCCGGTGCAGACGCCTGCGGTCAAGAAGAGTGTGACCGAGATGATCGAAGCCTCGCAGTCCCAGACGCTCGATGACGCGCAGTCCAAGCTCTACCGATCGCTGGTCATGCGTGCAAGCTACATCGGGCAGGACAGGCCGGACCTCAGCTACATAGCGTCTTCTCTGGCCAAGTCCATGAAGACTCCACGTGAGTCGGACATGACGGACCTGAAGCGCCTTGGGAGATACCTCAAGCAGGCCACGGCAGGCTCACTGGTATTCAAGCTGCAGGAGGCTCCCAAGCGCATCGAGATCTTCGTAGACGCTGACTGGGCTGGCGAGGCTACCACCAGGAAATCACGCAGTGGCATGATGCTCATGCTCGGCTCTCATCTTGTGAAGCACGCTTCCACGCAGCAGACCACGGTGGCGTTGTCTTCTGGGGAGTCCGAGTACTACGCGATGCTGAAGGGTGCAAGTCACGCTTTGGGGCTCCAGTCTATGCTCCAAGACTTCGGCGTGCAGCACCTAGAGATGCCACTACTGCGCAGCGACAGCGTGGCGGCCGAGGGCATCGCCACGCGGCAGGGCCTTGGCGCGGTCCGCCACATCGACACTAGATTCTTGTGGCTGCAGGACCAGGTCAAGGCAGGCAAAGTGGAGATCAAGCACGTGCCGGGACTCCAGAACCCGGCAGATGCATTCACGAAGGCTCTGGATCAGACACATCTGAGACGGCATTTTGAGGCTATGGGCTTTAAGGTGCGCGACGAGGGCAGCCGGCTCCATCGCACTGTCTAGGGTGTGTGTGTGGCGCCAGGCAGATGCATGAGTTTTCTTTTCTTTCTTTTCTTTTCCACGGACCTAGATGTCCCGCACTGAGGCGGGAGTTGCGGACGATGTGCATTGAGAAGTGGTCGGCCGTGCACGGACCTGGCGGGCGAGAGGCCTGCAGACACGCGCGGCACCGACGCCGCGGGAGTGGGGCTTTGGCCCGCTGTCCGCTGCGTCCGAGAGGGGGTGTTTCCCTTCACGTGCACAATCAGTGGTATCTGTTCTTATCGATATCGTTTGACGTCCGCAGCTCATTTGTGTCAAAGGAGCGTTGCAGGAGGAGGTGGAGGAGGAGAAGGAGGAGGAGGAGGAGGAGGAGGAGGGGAGGACGGGGGCAAGGACGAGTTGATGAAGGATGCGTGATCATGGAGTAGGAGGCGGACGGAGGTGTCTGCAGAGGCAGGCTGATTGGGTGTTTTTTTACGCCGAGGGGTGGGCCGTCCACCTGGTGACGACAAAGCTGCTGACCATCGCCGCATGGGACGCCTTCGCGTGCGACGGTGCTGGACTTTCGCTCGACCAGGCGCGCTGCCGAGGAGTACAGTCACGTCGCATAGTGATGGTGAGCAACTTTCCCAGGCTACCCTTGCATCCTTGCCCGTTCGGACCATCCTTGGCGACTTTCGCTGGCCAACCCCGCTCCCAAACGCCAACATTGCCCTTCAAGGCCCTTGCATCCTTACTGCGCGTCCTTAATATGCGATTTGACCGTGGGAGGAGCAGGAGCACGAGCAGGAGCGAGCAGGAGGAACAGGGTGGAGGAGGAGGAGGAGGAGGAGGAGGAGGAGGAGGGCCAGAGCAGACCCAATGGGCATTGACGCTGTTGCAATGCACACCCTCCTTCTAAATTCCCTCGTGGGTCCATCGAGGGTTTGTTTTCTGTGCGGGAGGTGTCTCATTGGAAGACAAACGTCTGATAATCTTAAATCATACAAAAGCACGTTTTTTGAATTTCAACGCCCCGACTCAACGCGACTGCTGCGTCCTGACAGTCCTAATACACCTTGTCGGAACACTGTTTACCACCGCGGATGATCCTTACGGTTGCGTCTTGGCAATACGAAGCCGTGCCAGAACAGAAAGCTTGAAATTTCGACCCTACGAGTCCCTGAACTTGTTGCAGATTTCGAGAACCAATGTTCGCGGCGCCAGGGCGAGAGCCACCTGTAAGCTTCTGCAAACCTTCAAAACGAGTGTGCGCCGTGCCAGGGCGAGAGCTACATTTTGAAACGAGACTTTCCTCCACACTCGAAGCTGCTGCAGACTTTCAATACGAAAGTGCGCGACGCTAAAGCGAGAGCCACGTGTTTTAAACGAACCGCCTCCCATCCTTGAAACTGTTGCAATGTTTGAGACGACTGTACGGGGCGCTGAGGCGAGAGCCACATCTTGAAAACGAACAGCCCTCCACCTATTTGAAATGTTTGCAAATGTTGCTTACGCCCGGCCCGCCCTACCAACACGTCTGGGGGTGCGGCAGGGCTGGAGTTAGTTATAAGGAAGATTAATGGAATCAAACAAGTCGTAGGAAGGGATGACGAGGAGGAAGGAGGAGGAAGGAGGAGGAGGAGGAGGAGGAGGAGGAGGAGGAAGAGGAGGAGGAGGAGGAGGAGGAGGAGGAGAAGGAAGAGCGAAGGCGCAGCAGCGGGGAGGAGGGAACATGATGAGGAGCATGGGTTGAGGAGGAGGAGGGGTCAGGGGGGAATGCAGGAGCCAGGAGAAGGAGGAGGAGGAGGAGGAGGAGGAGGAGGAGGAGGAGGAGGAGGAGGAGGAGGAGGGGCAGAGGAGGGGCAGGAGGAGGACGAGCAGGGAAGGAGCTTCCTGCACACTCTCCCCCTGTGGGACGCGGCGCAGGCGTGGGCAAAGTCCACGGCTCCGGGGAAGCACCAGGGGCGGATCAGCTCATGGGGGGATGCATCGACCCCCAAGCGCTTATTTATCTCAGGAGGGAAAAAACACACGGACACAATTCATCGTCGATTCCCTTGAAAAGATGGGAAATTACGGGAAGTGGGGGGGATGACAAAAACCTCGGAAATACGGGAAAATATGGTGAATCCTGTTATTTGTATGTATTTTTGTGTGTGTGTGTGTGGTTCTCAGGGTTCCTTCAGAATGGCCAACAACGTCCCGGTAGCCCGCGCTGCCCAGGAACGCGGGAGTTTGTCATCGGGGGTCTGCCGCCGATCTAGCGGCGATGCATCGAGCTCCATGTTCCTCCCCCTTGAGTGGGTCCCCCCCTATCGTTCCCCTTCCGTTGGACCGCAGACGCGAGGAGGGACCGCGAGGACCCAGGCGCTCCCTCGCCTTGTGGACGGGAGCAGCGACGGCAGGCTGTTGTTTCCAAACCTCGGGGGTCTCTGGGCCCCTCGCACCAGCGGCCCCGGGCCCCCAGGTTGGCTCGGCAGGAGAAGCCGGTCCCAGGGCAGGGGTCGAGGCGTTGGGGGATTCGGTGATGGCACCGCGTGCTGAGTCCGTGGGGATTCAGGGAGGAGACTGGGGAGGAAGAGGAGGAGGAAGAGGTAGGAGGAAGGAGGAGGAGGAGGAGGAGGAGGAGGAAGAGGAGGAGGAGGAAGGAGGAGGAGGAGGAGGAGGAGGAGGGAGGGAGGGGGAGGGGGAGGAGGAGGAGGAGGAGGAGGAGGAGGAGGAGGAGAGGAGAGGAGGAGGAGGAGGAGGAGGAGGAGGAGGAGGAGAAGGACGAGGAGGAGGAGGTGTAGGAGGAAGAGGAGGGGGAGGAGGAGGAGGAGGAGGAGGAGGAGGAGGAATAGGGATCAGGAAGAGGTGAGTGATGAGGCACGGGGAATGGAGATGAAAAGGAGCCGTGCAAGAGTCATTTTCTATGCCCGCCGGGGCTTCCCAACTGTTCCGCACTGTCTCCGCACCTTCTCGTCCCTGTTGCTCTGTCTAAGTGGTAAGAGTTTAAGGTGTTCTTCGTGCACGCAAATCGTACTAAGGTACTCTTATCGCCGTCCGACGTCTCAGACGCTACGAGCCCCGTCGCTCAGAGTTAGATCAACGCCTAAGGAGGACGAGGATGAGAAAGAAGAGAGGGGAGGAGAAGGAGGTGGAAGGAGAGAACGATCAAGACGCAGACAGGACAGCGCGGCGGCGGAGATTCATGATGAGGGATTCTCCGGATTGTTCAACAAGCACGATCCCCGTGCCAATCCGTCCGACGGCCCGTTCCAGCCCCCCAGTGCGCGCTGAACACGCTCCCTCACACGCGGTTCAACCCGCCCTTCCTCAGCGCGAGGTCTGGCCCGCTTGTGCCCCCCACGCGATCCCCTGCCCCACGCTGCAGGCCAGCCACAACTGGGGGAGCTGTGGTCCTTACCCCCCTGGGGGACCCATCGATTTCGACACCCCTCTCGAGAGATCGTCGATGCGACGGGTTCCCCCAGGGGTGTAAGGACCACAGCTCCCCCAGTTATGGCTGGTCGGCGCTGATTGAGCAACTCGGCGTGAGCACACACGGACAGGCCCTTCTCACTGGGACTGGGCACTGCGGGATGGCAACGTGGAAGCGGTTCCGCAGCCGCAGCCGCCCCGCGAGGGCGGCCGCGACACATTTTTCGCGGCCCGCCCGCGAAATGCTCCGGGGGCGGGGCCCGCGCGGCGGGGACAGCAGTGCACTGCTGCCGTCGCCCCCGCTTCCCCAGCAGGGTGCGTTCCGCTCCGATCGATCCGGCTCGGTGTCCATGCCGGCCAGCTCGATCCGATTAGATCCTGGTGATCCGATGCGTTGTCGTGTATACAGTCGGCGCCCTGAAGAAGGAACCCTTTTCGTTGGGGAGGGGCTCCGCGTTCCTTAAGTGTTTCACAGCTTGCCTCAGGCTTTCCTTAGGTTTCCGACAGGAAATCGAAGGTTAACTTCTGGAAACATGGGGCCTCGTCTCTTATTTAGGGTTCCTTAGGTCAACGCCCCGACTGTATGCTGGCACGGCCGATCTGACTCGATGTCGACACCTCGCCGATGCAGCCCCATCCGATGCACGCTCCGCTTGGATTCGACATCCCGATTCGACGCTTACTGACCCTGCCCCAGAGCCTCCGGCCTCGTGATCCTCGCGCCCGGGCGCCCCCGAAAAGGGCCCTCGCCTTCGACGGATCGGGGGAGCTGGCATCTCTTCCTTGGCGCAGGGTGGCGGAAGTAGAAATCTGTTTTTTTCAAGAGAGAGGGAGAGAGAGAGAGAGGGAGAGGGAGAGGGAATGTTTTGGGGGTTCAGGGCTTCTGGATCCCGCCGTGTAGCCTGCTCGTAGATCCTCGATCGCCTTCCCTCCCTCTCCTCACTTCCTCTCCTCCCTTCCTCCCTCCCCAGTCGGCTCCCCTTGAGCACCTTCTGATCTGGCAGTGTGCTGGGCGATAGAAGGACAGGCTCTTCGTGGACGCGAGCCAGAGTTCCCTGCTTTTGGCGGCACGCGCACTGGCTGGCACAACGTTCGGGGATTGTAACAGGTCTCCCTGGCCCAAGGTCTCCCCAGCTTTTCGCTCAGTTTTAGAGCCTGCCTCCCCATGGCAGTCCTGGGGACGCCTGTGCCCAGGGGCGCCTACGGCGACACCCGAGCTTTGGGGCCCACCCCTCCCAGACGTAGCGCCCGCCGCAAATGGGGAACGGCAGGGGGAGCGGCTTAGGAAGTGAAGCATCAACTTTGAATCTACGATGCATCGCCGACAGATCGGCGATGCACCCCCCGACAGCGAGACCGCACGGCCATGGGCGGGGTGGGCCGTCGGGACCTCGCCGGGCTCCCCGGGGATCTTGGGGACGCCTGGGGCCAGGGACTCCTCTGGCAACACCCGAACTCTGCGCACTGGGGCGCAATCCATCGGGGCCAGGACCATGCTTGCTATCCTACGCTATGTTCGCCCTCCGCTTCGTGGCAAATGGCTCCGCCCCAACGCAGCGTGTGCATGTATAACATTCGGCGGCGAGCCTGGGGGGAAGTGAGAAGGAAAAAAAGCTTTCTCAGAAGGCTCGGAAGTCCCCAGGCCTTCGGAGAAGCTCTCTAAGCCTTCCCCGAAGACAAGGAAACCTCTCAGAAGGCGCGAGAAACTTCTGTGAAGTTTTGCCGCCTTCTGAGAAGGCCTTCTCCTTCTCACTCACTTCCCCCCCCTCGCTCGCCGCCGAAAAAACATGGTCAATACCTGTCGCCCGGAGAGCCGGTCAGGCAGTGTGGCACAGCATACAGTACACGCTGTCCAGTGGCGCTTGTGCAAAAAAAGTCCCCATCGGACGTGGTCCAGATGCCTTGGCGTATCTGCGCGCGGCGCCCACGCCCCCCGAGCTCGCCCGCCCCTGGCGCTCTTCCCTTCCCCGGGGCGGGCGGCGCCAGGTGCGGGAGTACGTCCTCGGCACAGGAGCCGGAGCCCCGGCGGGGCCTGCGCTCCTTGCGCACGGTGGAGGGGGCCTGGGGCGCGGCGTGTCTTCGCGGCCTCCCGATGGTGTTTCCGCACCTGCGATGGTTGCGTCCGGAAGCAGAGCATGGGAGCCTTGTATGTTTTGGCAGTGCCATCTTTAGAGTGCACTGGCGTCGACTAGCGTCTGATGGTATGGGAGATTTCGTTGAGGTGATGATAGCCATGATGATGATGATGATGATGATGATGATGATGATGATGATGATGATGATGATGATGATGATGAGGATGAGGATGAGGATGAGGATGAGGATGAGGATGAGGATGATGAGGAGGAGGAGGAGGAGGATGATGATGATGATGACGATGACGATGGTGATGGTGATGGTGATGGTGACGGTGATGGTGATGGTGATGATGGTGACGATGGTGACGATGGTGACGATGATGCTGATGATGCTGACGACGATGACGATGACGATGACGATGATGATGCTGATGATGATGACGACGATGATGACGATGACGATGACGATGACGATGACGATGACGATGATGATGATGACGACGATGATGATGATGATGATGATGATGATGATGATGATGATGATGATGGTGACGATGACGATGACGATGATGATGATAATGACGACGATGACGACGATGATGATGCTGATGATGACGATGACGTTGACGATGACGATGACGATGACGACGACGATGATGATGATGATGATGATGATGATGATGATGATGATAATGCTGATGATGGTGATGATGATGATGATGATGATGATGATGATGATGATGTGATAAGGTGCGTCTTGGGAGTCCAGGGCTTCCAGGTGGGGTCGCAGCAGATAGGGGTCGGAGGACCACGCCGCACCGTCGATGCATCGGCGAATGCGGCTCGATGGGGAGCCCGATGTCCTCCACGCCTACGTCGCCAAGGTATCGCTGACGTCGGCGATGCGTTGTCGATGCGGAACGATCCTCCGACCCCGTCTGCTCGGACCCTTTTTGGGAGGCCTTTAGCGAGGCACCCTGCGCATCCTCTTTCGGATCGGCACGGCGGGCTCCCTGGGTCGGGCGCAGCGTGAGGAAGAGCACCAGTCGGGCCGAGCGAAAGGGGGGGATAGGGAAAGGGGGGGTACGAGATCTGCTGCATGCAGCTGGTTTCGGCCCCGCTGCCGGGCCCATTCCTCGATACATGGGCGGCTCCCGGCGCCGGGAGGCGCTGGGAAAATCAGCTACATGAGCTGACTCTCAAATCCCCCCTTGATATCCCCCCTTTCGCCCGGCCCGAACCAGTCTAAACGACCGACAGGCCAGGTAGTGAGGCCCAGAGGTGAAGCTTCCTCCTGCGCCCTTCCTGCGCCCTTCCTGCGCTCTCGCAGGAGGCCGGAGGGTCCGCGGCGTCGCTCGTGGAGCTTTTTGTAACCTCTATGGGCCTCCAGTTTTTGGGCCCCCTTCCGCCCCTGTTTTCCTCGTCGGGGACCAAGCTCGCCCTTCCTCCTCGTCCTGCTCCTCCTACTCCCCCTAGCCTCTGGGAAGTCCTCCTCCTGCTGCTCCTTTTCCATCTGCTCCTGCTCCTCCTCCTCTCAAATGGGTTCCTTTTGTGGCGGATTGAAATTGGATTCCTTTTGTAGAAGAATGCAATGTGATTGCTTTTGTAGAGGAATACAATCGGATTCCTTCTGTGTCGGATTCCAAATGGAGTTCTTTTGTGGGTGATTCCAGAGGGATTCCTTTTGTGGCGGCGCTGGGGGAGCGAGGGCGCCGAAAACCAAGCACTGGCCCTCGTTGAACTATAGAGAAGCAGTCCTAGATCGTGTCGGCGTGGACCCCCCTCCTAGAGAAGCGGCCCAGGAGGCAGACATCTGTCCACGGGCCTCTTCCGGGGCGTGCCCCAGCGAGGACTGCGGGGCGGATCTGGCCGTGGCGACGAGGAGCCCCCCGGCGGAGGGGCAGCGCAAACATGCTTTTGACAGCTCGAGCCTGGACTCCTCCGTCGTCGAGCCCCGAGCCGCGCCCTGCCTCGCAGCTCGGGTCGGCCTCTGCCCCCCCCCCCCCTCCGAAGGAGCGCGGCCCCCGTTGGACTGGCGCGGCTTCCCGCCGCTGCGGGGCGACCTGGCCGCCGTGCGCCGCGAGGCCACTCCCCCCCCGGCCTTGGCATCGCTCGGACGTGTGCGTTTTTTCCTCGGCGATGGCGAGCAGCCGCCCGGTCCCCGCCTGCGCCTGTGCGCGCGTCCGCCTTCCCCGGGACTTTGGCCCCTGGTCCCCGTACTCTTGGTTGCCTCGGCTCGAACCTGGTTCGAGATTCGAAGTTGGAGGGTCGAACCTGGATTGCTTTCGCCCTTTTCGGGCCTCTGGGGGGGGGTTCCTCGTCGCCATGGCTGGATTCGCCCCGAAATTCTGGTCAGAGCGCACCCCAAGCCAGGTCTGGGGATAGATGTTTGACCCCCGGGCTGCCTCCTGGCTGTCAGTGCAGCCTGGCGACGGAGCAAGGAGCGGAAAGGATACTCCTATGTTTTCTCATATTCCGATGTTTGGTCGGCACTCCTACACAGCCCCGGAAAAGTCATGCAGTTTCATTCGTAACTCGCATGCTGCCGAAATAGTACTAGCATATAGGGGCTCTAACTTTTTTGAAAGTAATTCAGGAGAAGAACAAAAAAAAACACACACACACACAATTAATCGTCGAGTCCCAGGAAAATATTGGAAAATATGGGAAGTGGGGGGAAGACGAAAACCTAGGAAATATTGGAAAATATGGGGAACATGTTTATTTGTGTGTATTTATTTGTGTGTCCTGGGGCCCCTTTAGCAACTTTGCCGTGGGGGCGGTCTGGCGGCTCCGTGCTCGACCTCGCCGCCCCGACGCCGCCTCGCCACCGCCCGTCGTCCTGGGTCTGGGGTGCGATCTTGCGGCTCCGTGCCCGCCGTCGCCGCTCTGTTTGTAAAACATAGCTTGCGCCACAGACTGCACCGCATATCCTGCACCACGTCGACTGTGCCACCATGGTTTGCCCAACATGAGTTGCACAAGATATGTTGCACCATAGATTCCCTTTTTTCTAGCAAGGAATTGAATCTACCACCTTCCCCTCGGACTTATCGGTCCACCCAAGGGACGTGCAGTCTACATTTGATGTTGCCCCATCGTTGATTCTATTAGGAGTCGCACCTTCTCGGCCATGCCAGGTTCGACCGCCCACCCTCCATCCCTGACATGTACTACTAGGCGCGAGTATCCGTCTATCAAACATTCATCATACGCTGTCAATAGCCCCTTGCAGCAATTGAGACAAGGTCCTCATGCGCGGCGTCGCGCGCGCATGCCTAAACCAACGAAACCCGATCATAGGTGTCGGAAGGCATTCGAACTCACTGCCCCAGAAAACACATTATAACAACATGGTTTGCAGCATGTTTGCTTCAACTATAGTTTGCGGTTTTCTATGAATTTTCAAGAGAGACATTGTTTGTTTCAGCATTTCTTCAAATACGTCCAAGCGGTCCTTTCACGCGCGCATGTCGAAAACATTCGAACGCCTTTGCTGGCTGGGGGGTGGAGCGATTCCCGTCAACTGGTACCATGCGGGCCACTCGCGCCCGTCGGCCGCGCGCGCTTGTCGAAATCACCCCTCAACCTTCATCACCGACACGTGGACACCATCATCGCCATTGGCGTGGTCAGCACTGGCGCCGTCATCGGGCTTGCCGTCGTCAGCGTCACCATGGTCACCAGCTACTATCACCATCGTGTGTGCCGCTGTCCGTTTCGCAATGGTACCGCGCCCACCCGAGTCACCGCCTCGCACTGAAGTGCCCGCCCGTCAGCGCGGCCTGCGAGACGCGCTGGGAAGGCCCGAGCGGTTAGCGCCCCTGGGGCCGCGTCGGTCGCGCTGGACCAGCTGGCCGCTGTGCGCGTGAGCATGCGCGCTAGCACGGCCGCGGCGATGCGCCAGTTAGCGCCAAGCAGTCATCGCAATCGCCGCCGCAAGGGTTTTGGAATCGTCAGTGCGGGTGTGTGGGTGGGACGATTTCGCGAACAGCGGGGCTGGCATTTGCAAGTTCGGCAAGGCGAATAACACGACATAGACTTGTCCACAAACATGGCACAACATATCTTGCACCACATATATATATATATACATATATATATATATTCATGTAGACATTAATAAGCGCTGATTGCACAACGTATACTGCACCAAGCAGATGGCACCACGTATAGATTGCTCCACCTAGATAGCACGATCTATACTGGTAGAACACTGTTTGGGGTCCACGCTGGCTAACATTGGGTTATTTTCGTCGCCTTCTGCTTTTCTGCGGTCTTGGCCTCCTGGGGGCCGTTTTCGAACCTTTGGGCCGCCAGGAGCGAAACCCGTCTGTAAAACTACCTCCAGGGAGGTCTCCCTGACAATTCTTCGACACGGCATGCAAACATCTTATGGTTTTTCCATGGGGGGTACTTTCGTGGGGCAGCCGTTGGCGACGCCACCGCCAAATTAAGCAGCGCGAGCAAAATATGTCCGCTGTTGAGCGATTGCGATACCACCTTTTTGTCAGATCTCGATATCGCACCGAGGGCCTTTAGTGGTTCACCGAAGGCGGCGCCGCCAGAACACAGATCACCAGCATCCTTATTATTCCGCATCCAGGACAATTGCGGGCGGCAGCACCATCGCCAAATCTTAGCTCGCTGCCGAAGAAACTGCGCAGTATGCTCGACATGGGTACGGATAAGAATTGGAGCACAGACCGGCAGCACGTCCTGTCCGTTTTTAGCAGGCATCGGTGTCGGTCGCCGCGGACGTGGACCGTTTGATGCAAAAAGTCCTTTGCCCATCAGCGGCCGCTGTTGGTGTTGGGCAACATTCACTGTTGGGCATCGGGCCCGTTTTTTTTTCCGTACCCATGTCGGGCGTCCTGATTTTGGTTGGTTCTGGGGCCATCCAAGAGAGATTTGGTGAACAAGCAGTCCTGCGGACGGAGTCGGTTGAGAGTCAGATGCAATTTTCGGGGGGATAGGTCAGGGGGGACGCATCGACTCCAATCGACCACTGATCGCCGACAGTGGCTCGATATCTCCACGCTATCGGGGGTTTATCGCCGACTCATATGCGATGCATCGCCGATTCCAGGTCGATGTTTCCACCCCTAGGGTCCTGAAGAGGTAGTCGGTTGAGAGGTCTCGGGGGCCTCAGATTGAGATTTAGCTCTGCGAATGACCCAGCCCCCCTGTGCGCAGGGGGGTGACCCTCACTTCACCAAATATTTCGCGGGAGGGAAAGAGTTTAAGCTTCGGAGGGAGGGGGCGCGATCCGTGTGAGAGGCGCGCCACCGAGGATGTATCGGGCGGCTGGGGCCTCCAGGGTGGTCTTTTGTGATTCCGAGGTCACTGCACGTTCTGTCACCAGACCCTTGTCAGACACCCCAAAGTACATGTTTCTCTCTGCTTCCACTTCACACTCGAGTGCCCCTTTCGCCGAGGTCGTAGGCAACCCGATGTACGACCCCTGCGGCATGCTGGTCGCCCTCGCGGTGGTCTCGTCCGGCCAGCAGGCGGTCCGCTCGGGGCTGGTGGGTTCCAGGGTACAACTGATCTTGAAATATTAACGTATGATGATATAATATTTGGATTGATTGTATCAGCATTAACATTTAAAGCATATAATATAATCAACAAAGTGCGCATGCACTCCGCACGGGGATGCGAGCGACGCGCTTGGAGCGTGGACGCTGCGACGCGGCGGCGACGCCAGCGCGAGCCTTCGGGATCGAATGCCCTCTACAGGGGGCCGTCTCGGACCACTGGCCTTCAGAAGCGCCGGCCCGCGGCCAGAGGTCGGGGAGCCGACGCCCCGACGTCTCGTCGCGAGAGTCAGGGGGGCCCGCGGAGAGCCGTCGTCGGCGGTGGCGGGTGCCCGCGCGCGAGGCTGGGGCGCACCGCGCGTCTCGGCGCCACGGCTGGAGGATGGGGCTTGGCATCGCTCGGACGTGTGCAATCTTCCTGCGGTGGGGACCATCGAGGAGCATCCTGGATCACTGGGCGGAAGAACCACGCACGGAGCCGAGCAGAAAACACACGGAATGGACGTCCGAGCGATGGCCAGGCGCCCGCGCGCGAGGCCGGGGCGCGCCGCGCGCCTCGGCGCCACGGCCGGAGGAGGGGTGCGGTGTGCTCCTGCGGCGCAGGCGTTCTTCAGGAGGAAAGGAACACACACAGACACAGTTAATCCTCGATCCCCCAGAAGATATATTGGAAAATATGGGGAATACTTTTATTTGTGTGCATTTATTTGTGTGTCCTTGGGCCCCTTCGGTTCTAGGGATGGGGTCGCCTGGACAGCCGCTTGCGACCCCTGGCAGTGGGAGCGGCGCACGCGGTGGCAGGCATGCCACCGAGATTATTGAGTGATTCGGAGGTCTGTCCTTCCTCAGAGGCTCACGCCATGGAAGGACTGATGTCGAGGTTCCCAAGCGTCGGTGGCCGTTCTCGGGCCTCTGGAGGCCCCCAGGGGCCTCAGGAGGCCTCTGGGAACGTCAGCAACGCCGTTAAAGCTGGAAGATGTGCCTTTTCTGGATGAAACAGGGTTCAGGACCTGTGCTGGGGGGGACTGTAATTGAACAAGCAGTGCGCGCCCAACAGCGGGCATCAACAGCATTTGCGCATTCTTGAGAAAGGGGAGTTCCACAACAACAAGAGCAGCAATAATCTGCGCCGCGGAACCCCACCACGCTCGACTCTCTTCTCAATCCTCTGGGAACCCAGACCCCCGGCGTCATGTTTTTTTCTTAACGTTGACCCCCAGAGGTCTCGACCCATCCCCAGTGTCCGGTCTTTCATCGCGAGTCATTGTCTCACGGTCCATTGGCCAGGGCCCCCGGAGGAGCGGACCTTCCGCGTCGCGATTTTTGTTCACGACCCGAAAGGGGTCTGGGAGCCAGGAGCCTGGGAGCCCGAGATACAGGCGGGGCTGATTGTAGTAGGCCAGGCCTGCCGAACCAAGGCTGCCCTTCTGTCCTGTGCACCGCGCGTCGCGCGCTCTGCCTCCGCGGGGCAGGGGCACATCTGCGTCCTGTGGCTTCTGGAGACGATGCCGTCGGAAGAGTCCTGTGTCCTGTCTCGTGTCTTAAGTCGGGCCTGTGCCTCTACACGAGGAACATTCAAAAATAGTCCAAACATAGTCTGGGTATTTTTTTTAATAGCATTTTTGGACCATGTGGGTGGTACTTTTTGAATCTGTTTTATTTTTCGTCGAAAACCCCCCAGTAGGGGGACAGGCCCGACTTAACGCGTGTCCTGTGCACTCGGCCCCGACTCTGCAGCCACGGAGGGGCGCCTGGCGGCAAGGGCCCTCCAAATTGCTCAAGCCAGGCGAGCGGCGCCGCCGAGCTGCTGCGGCGCGGGGAGGCGCTGGCACCGGAGGAGGCGGCGCCCGCCCGC